TAAACTCAACGCTTCCCGTGACTCCTTCACATATTTAATTGCTATCAAACGATTATGGACTCTTATGAATTGATTAAAATTGAATTACTACTTTTGTATGTTCGGCCAATCAGATTGCGACTCTCAGTCACATGGTATGATAAAACATGTGACACAGTTCCTCGGTATGATAAACTGCTCCAGCATCCTATGCATAATTTTTACGACCATTTACTGATAATGTTTTACTGTGAATTAATTCAACTATTAAGAATATCTTCCCTGTATGACTTGCCACCTCTTCAATTTTGCCTGCGGGCGCGGGCTACGGCACTCTAACTGAATTTAATTAAAAGTGACGGCCTCTGGCCTTATTTGAACTTTAGGTTAAAACTCGTATGTAGTTGTAACCTAGATTATGCAAAGGATGATCTTGATTTTGACAAGAATATGAAACAATTTTAATTACATATTCTACTAAAAATAGCTAAATAAATACAAAATCCATAACAGTATATAAAAATGTTATGTATTGCATTTACAACATGCTTTCTAAAATCATTATTGCCAATGATATTTTGTTTCAAAGAAAATTATGTTTTTGAGCTCATTCTGTTATGTTCTTAAGGATTGCCCAATAACTATTTGCAACAAAGAATGAAAAGTGCATGGTATGATTATTGTTTTTGTAATTATTTAGCCTGAAGTACAAATGTAGAATTGTTTTTTTTTTCTAAGACTGATTTTGAATTTTGTTTCCAAAATTGAATTATTAAAAATTATTTATTGGGTGTTATTTACCATTGTATTCTATATTACAGTAAAGAAATACTTATTTGCAAATACTTGGCTTTTAATTCTGAAGCCATTAATTGACTTCGTAGTATTTCTGGATTATGGAATTAAAAGCATTAACTATAGAACATGTGTTTAAATGTTCCATGGCCATGGGTTGTCCAGAGAGAGTTCCTGGAGGATTCTTCTTAAGTCTAGAATAAAACTGATGAGCATTATTGAGGAAATTATGTGCAGATAAAAGATGAAAGATGCCCCAGCTGTAGTGTAAGGAGAATCTCAAATTATGTGCTTCTTGTCTTTCAGACATTGCCAAATCTTTACCCTAGCTTTATGCATAGTTTGAGTCGTGCATCTTACCAAGTTCCATATTTATGAATTTCCTTAGAAACTTGAAAAGTCATTAAAATGTGTGGATTTCTGGAGGATAGTTATTCCTTTCTTTGCAAAGAAATCTTCATTTATTTTCCTCTACTTAACAATGAGCTTGCAATGCTGTAGAATTGGCAAGAGAATTCATAAGATGTTGGCACTCATAAATATGCTTCAAATCACAAATTCTGTTGCTAACAAGAACCTAAGGATAGATCTAAAATCTAAAAAGATTACAACCTTGGAGAACAAGGTTTTAAGAAGACATGTGTCTGTTGTTTTCAAAACTTCTGTGAATTTATGTTTTCATGAAGTTTTTAAATGAATGAAATGGAAATTATATTCTGAATATTTTTTTCTGTAGTGTATTTTGGCATAAACTTTTAGTATGCATCATATTCGAAACTTGCATTTTGTGTAATTAATTTAAGCATCCCTCAGCCACTAGCAAATAGTTTATAAGATATTTCACCTGCCTTCTTAGCTTGTCTTTGTAGTGTGGTGGTCTGCATGCTGGGCTCCTATTCCAGAGGTCCGTGGTTCGATTCCTGGTGAGGGTGCTGTTAATTTTTCATCACTCTTGCTTCAAAATAACCTAATGTCTCTACAAGTTATGTTTATTCGCTTGTAGAGGACTCACCCATTTTTCATCAAAGTTTATTTTATTATTGTACCATATTCTGTTACTTCTATGTTTATTAATGTTTAAAGCTCATTTTACATTGCTTTACAATAAGAAAATATGCACTGTTTTATAATAAGAAAATCTAAGTAAATTTTAATAGAATCTGATGAATATGTAAAAGGAAACTTTTGGTTTTATATTGACTAGAAGAGTTGTTACAAAAGACTTTCGAGGTCAAGGACTGTAAAGATTGTATTATGATATTCAAACAAAGATTTCAAAAAACTATGATATTACAGTTATTTCTTGAAAAAATTGACTGCAAATTTAGGACAGTTTTTATATCTAAATTACACGTTTGAAGAACATTAAATACTTATATTTTTGGAGAAGATGAAGGCATAAATGCTGTAAAATTGGTCTATACATTTTGTTTAAATTTTACATAATAATTTTTTGTAATACTTTCGAATTGCATTTTTATGTGTCGTTTTGTATATTAAATAGGAGAAATGTCATGAACTAAATGATGGGGCACAATAGAACCTAAAAGCTATGTCCTTGAAGAAAATCATTTTCTTTCTCACTGAAAAAGCACATTTTGTTTAAAATTTATCTTCATTTGCTAATACTCTAAAAAAAAAAAAAAAAAAAAAAAAAAAAAAAAAGCTTTTCTATCACCTAGGCCTTTTTCTCTTTGAAGGGGCAATATGTGAGATATAAAATATGAATGAAAACTACTAACTTCAATTTAGCAATGCCTCTTTTAATTCTTTATTTTAATTTGGCTGTGTCCCCTGCCTGGATTGTAAAGTACTTCATCTGGAAAATTAATCTGCATTATGACATCTTATTAATCCTGCAATGCAGTTAGCTCTTGACCAATCACTGTTCAAAATTTCGAAACAATCAACTCTGTAAGTATTCTTTGCTAAAATATGCACTCACTTTGCTGTCTCCTGTCACTCTGAATTAAGACTTTGCTTCCACATATCATTCTGCTCTCTGTTTCATCTATTGCATAGTAATGTGATCAATTACATAAAACTGGGAAGGGATTTATCACACAAAAATGATGTGTGAATCTGTTTATGCTTATCAAGAATATCCAAAAATAAATTGTTTTCTTAGTCACATCTGTCTCTTGTGTCATCTTATGTATCTATGCTATCTTCTGATCCTCAAGTCATTTACATATAATTATAACGTGCACACATATACATATGTAATGTTTATATTATCATCCTGGAAAAAGTAATTGTCTTTTGTAATGAAAAAGTTTCTGTAATGCATTGAAGATATTTGTCAGTTAAAGACACAGTATAAAAATATTAAATTAATTATTGCTAATTCCATGAAAAAAAAGGGTTGACTTCTCAGGGGCTGTTAGCTTTTTTTCAATACAATCATGAACAGTTAAGGAAATCTGAATCATGTTTCATCTTATCAGACTGTTTGGATGAAAATTCGAGTTAATAGAATATCTCAGTTAAATTTTAAAATGGCTAATTCCCCTTGAAAAGTCACCCTTTTCTCATGAAATCAGCTGTAATTAATTTAATAATTTCATATTGTATTTTTAATTGATCAATATCTTCAATGTATTCCAATAGATTTTTCATTACAATAGACTTTTACTCAAGTTTTTCCAGGATGATAGTCTCACCATTTTATCTTTAACTTACCAATATCTTCAACGTGTTACAATGGACTTTTATTGTACTTTGTACTTTTTCCAGGATGATGATATATGATGATATCACCTTTTATAAAGTTATTTAATCTTAGCTGCATTTGTATTAGATTTTTGACTATGAAAGTCCAGGGTATTTCCCCTTTCTATTCTAAAAATAGCAACCAATCATAATAAACTTTTCTGAACTGCATCATTTCCATATCAGATGATTTTTACATAATGTTGTGATGAAAATAACTTACATAAGCTTTCAACAAATTATAATTTTAGAGCTTTATTAATAATCTAATCAAAACCCAAACTAACCTGCTCTGAATTAAGATTTTGTTGCATTCAAATACTATGTTCTTGCTTTCTGCACCTCGGCCTAGCTAAACCACTGCCTGCTGCTTTCATCTGACTGCAATAGTATCAGAAATCTAAATATTACATTCTGGAATGGGCATGATTAGTGTGTCCAGATATTTGTGGCCGCAAAACGTTTTAACTAAAAGTGAATATTTAAAATCTGCTGCAACTACAAGATTTTACTATTTTGGCTTTTACATCTATCTATGTCATTCCCAAATCATTGCACACACACACACACATATATGTAACTTGAAGCAAAAATTGTAAAGTTGTTCAAGTTACTGAGTGTTAATGTGGCAGGTTACCTTCCTATGAACATTTTTGTGTTTTTATTGTTATGGAAAGTTGAAGATTTAGCAACACATCTTTTGTAGATCTTGCTGTATTTTTCAGATAATGGACATTGTACTGCAAGCTTGAAATTGACTGTAGTAAATTGCTTGCATGATCTACAGCGAGTTGAAATTAAGAACTAATTTACTATCTGAAAAACAATAAATGCATTTCATGAAATATAAATGAATAGAAAGCTGAACTTAAATCTAGTTATTTACTTTCATATTGTTTTCTGTAATGATAAATATTAAATTAAAAAAAGTTCTCTGTTTCCTTACAGCAGACTCTTTCAATTAAACATATTGTGAATTATTCGTCTTATAAAGCAGATATTAAGTTTTTTTAGAGCAGAATGAAAGAATTTTTTCCCCACAAACTGCAGCTTAAAATAAAATTATGTATGGAAAATTATAAAAAAGGGGGAGAAAAACAATAGTAGTGATAGCAGATGATATAGTCATTCATAACTTAATTCTTTATTTTTAATTATGTTTAATCTTCCATAATTTACAGTGTCTTCTTTTTGTTTTGAATACTGATTGAATTTACGTTACCAAATAAACATATTCTTCAAGTTAAACTTTTTGGAAATGCTGGTAAATTGTTAATAATATATTTCCATTAATTACAGTATGGCTATTTTTTCCCTTGCATTTTTGTTAATATGATTTTGTGTGAAATATTAATGTCATCTCTGGTCAATAAATTGAGAGTTGCCTGTATAATAAATTTGACATTTTTAATTTTGCAAATGCAGAGAAATTGTTATATTGCTATATAAATTGAAAAAAAAAAATTAACCTTTATGTTTCCTCAGAACTTTGTATTTTATTTTTATTATTTTAGGTTCCTCCACCACCACAGCCATCTAATACTTCTAGTAGGCAAGAAGAAAAAGTTGATCCAGAAACAATACATCAGCGTCAAGCTGCTGCTAAATTAGCATTAAGAAAGCAACTTGAAAAGACCCTTTTACAAATCCCATTACCAAAGCCTCCACCTCTAAAGATAAATTTTTTCCCTAATGCCAATAGTATTGAATTCCTGTGTCTGTTAGGCTTAGATTTTGTGGTTGATTTTTTGACAAAATCGAAAACAAATCCTGTTCAGAAAGAACCTCTTGTTTGTGCTCAATGCTCTACTGATTTTACTTGTGCTTGGAAATGGAAAGAAGTTGATAAAAATGGTAAAAAGGCATATGATGTGTTCTGCGAGGCCTGTATTAATTCCAATATTCGTAAAGCCTTGAAAGCTCAACATACAAATAATCTAAAATCAGCTTTCTTAAAAGCTCTCCAGCAAGAAAAAGAAATTGATCGACTGTCTCAAACAATGACAAAATCACATTCCTCACCCAAAGAACCTCGTCCAAGTTCCCGCCTTCCAATTCCATCACCTGCTCATCAAGCACACAATTCATCAGCATTTTCAGTTCCAAAAGTTGGATCCTCAATGCAGTACATTCCCAAGTCAACACCGGGTATGAACCATGCCGCATTAGCACAAGTCAAACTGAATCCTCAGTTTCAGTCATTACTTCAAGTTCAAGCCCAACATTTGCTAGCTACAGGTGTGCCTTTGCATCCAAACGTACTATCTTTATCATCATTTGTACCACCAAGTTCACATCAAAATCGAGGAAAATCATCTACGGGTCAAAATGATGTTCGCAGGCAATATCGGCCAGATAGAGTCCAGTCACCTTCCATACCTCAAGCCCCATCTACTTGGAAAGCTTGAATTGCACCACACAAATTATTGTGGTTGAAACAAATGTACAAATATACTGCATATGTATCATTAAATGTTTTTGTAAAAAGAACTTTCATTTAATTTATGTCTTGGTCATTCCTTATCAATACCTTACTAGTGCCTGTGTTCATTAACTTTTATGCCTTAGTATCTACCAAGGTCAGTAGACCAACAAGGTTAGGCCCTTTCCATCTCTCGAGTTCAATGCCATCAGTTGATGTACAGAAGTGGGAGAATCAAAGGGAGAAGGGAATTGTAGCTTTTGAGCACACTGTGTTGCTGAAGAGAAAACCTTGTAGTATAGTAACCTTGGTATCTACTAGAAATTTGCACTGATAATTAATCTCTATGTTAAGTATCCTATATTTTGTTAAAAGTTATTTACTGTAGGATTCTGAATGCTGGTTAAGTTGCATAATGGTCAAAAATTTATTATATGTTAAAATCAATTTAAAAAAAAATTATTTTGAAGTATAGGATACGCATAGTTTATGATCCAGTTATGAATGTTAAAGAGATTTCATTTATTTGTAATATTCATGTATGGTTTTCTTGATTTAAAAGAAAGAAGTAATTGAAAGAATGTCTGTTATTGTACCAAATTTCAGTATCTGAGATAAAAATTGTCAAAATGAAACTTGGTCTCATAGCAGTTATTTACACACTAAATTTTGCTGTCTACTATGAAAACTAAACATAGCTTTACATTCTTTCTAACAGAGAAGGAATATGCATAAAAAACATTCTTATTATCAACAAACCATGAAAAGTCCTGCTTTGTTTTAAATAAATGTGCTCCCTATCATATATAAGATTCCTGCCAATAAATTATTCATAAAAATGCTCCCTATTTTCATCATGAAAAAAACCTTTTTTTTACATACTTATTATTTATCTTTATTATTTATTTATTTATCTTTGAAAAAAATAATAATGTTCTCACTGTATACCTTCACAAGTTTATTTAATCTTTATTACTTTCAGGTTTTGTCATGTAAAATATTTTGGTAATTTAGCTTTCTCGTAAGGGCAGTACATACTGCTTTTCATGTATAGAATATAACACTGAAAATATCATGGAGAAAAAGCCAAGATATAGTCATGCAAAACATTGCAGCAGAAAAGAAGGCATAAAAAAAAACATTGCTATTCTAAAATATTGTGGTAGAAACTAAGCAATAAAAAAACTTGTAGTTTTAAAACATCATGATAAAAAATATGTACCTTGAAATCATAACATGATGATAACATTACAGACATGCATTTTCAGGCCTTTGAAAGTTTCAAATGCTGCTCTTAACAATGCTTTGAAACTGTTTTGTAATCTCTTTTATTTTTCAACAATGATGTTTTAGAATTGCAATATTTTCTTTGTGCCTTTTCTATCACAATGTTGTTTACAAGGATTTCTTCCTCTTAATATTCTTCATGATATTTTTACTGTGGTGTTATCACTTGTGATCCAGAAGCTATCATTGGTAAATTACTGCATCTAATGTAGCAATAATTTCATAGGAAATTTATATCTTATTTTAAATAAGCATTTTGAAAATTTGAATTTGAGTGAAAATGAAAATATGCACATCTTTTAATGCTAAAATTTGAGGCAGTCTGCATATCTTAGTACATGGAAGCAGCCTTATTAATATCACAATACCTCCTTCTTCTAGACGTACGTTTGCTGAATCAGTTTTTTGTACTTAGAAATATGCCCATTTAGAGATTAAAAATTACACTACTAGAAATACTTTTTTTTTTTTTTTTTTTTTTTTTTTTTTTTTTTTTTGTATTTTTGAATACTTTCATCAAGAAGATCATCTTTAAAAAATACAATTTTTTTTATGTATTTCTTAGAATGTAAATAAATTTTAAGTAGTTTTTGTTTTATTTATAAGCGCATTGAAGCAAATATATATTAATTAATGATGTGTCAGAACTGATCTCTAAACAAGATGTGATAGTGAATTCATTAGAATTATTTTTATATTCTTTATTTATTGCTAAATTTTTGCCAAAACATGTAGGTTGGTTTGTTTATTATATTAAAAAATAGAGTTAGGGGAAAAAATAATTACTTCATTTATATAAAATTGTCACCCGACTAAATATGCATGCTGATATTCAGAGCCTGCGTTTTTGTTCATTCTTCAAGATGTTTACTTAATGAATCAGGACTATCATGTTGCAGATGGTGACATTTCAGATATATGCAACATAATAGTCTTAATTCATGTATTTAAAAATACTGAAAAATGTTTCAGTTTTTTTCGGAGCTATTGTTTCCTACATTTATGAATATTATCTTTTGACTCATATTATTTTGGATACATAAAATTAAAAATTATTCTTAGTATTATTCTTTAAAGAATATTGCTTATGAACCTTTGAAAATGGATATTCATGTATCTACATAGTATTTTTGGTTGCAGTTTCATTAACTCTTCAGTTGATTGGCATACTTTTCTATAGTTAAGCAAATGGTGAAAAATAATCATGCTACCTGAAGTGCTAAAATAAATCTCATTATCAAAGAGAGAAATAATAATAATTACCTGTATGTAATAAATATGAAAAAATTATGTTTAATTTTAGATAGCAAAGTTTTTATACTTATTGTTTAATAAGACTAATTACTAGCTTACATGATATTTTTTACATTAAAGATGTAATAGAGAGTTGATATTTTTTGTGTTATTTTTAACTGTAAATATTGAAAGAATGTATCTATTTATTACATGCTATAAAAGCTTTAATTAAAACATGGAAAATTGTGTTAATTTATAAATGAAACTATGCACAAATTTTTAATTGCATTATATGTTGGAAACTGTGCACAGTTCTTAACTTATTATGTTATTTTAGATAATCACATAATAAAGCTGTATTTACCAGCTGTTTTGTATGTGAGATGAAAAGGTTCCACTTTTAATGATATAACAGCTTCTTTCTTGTAGAGTAATATATGATAAATAAATAAATGTTTGTCAACTTGTATAGTATTTTTTACTGTGCAGAGTTTTTGTAGAATTTTTTTTTAACAGGATGTATAACATATTCTTTAAAACAAAACTTCTGTAACAGATTTTGAAACGGAATGACCACAGACTTATTTGTTTTATAGTGAATACTGATGTTTTACAGTGCTGATAATGTAGTTATGATCACTTTATGAGATCTTGACTTTGTTGAATTGTATATAAATTAGAGGAGTGAAGCAAATATATATTAGCATTTGAAAATAAATTTATAAATTTCTATATTGTGTTAATACTTCCATTTTGTCTGATATAAATGTCATTGCTAATTATGTTGCTTAATTATTTCTTTGGGGACTATGAAAAGTCATCGTGCAATTTTATTTTCCTGTGAGGAATTCATGTGACTTTGAATCAGAAATTAATACAGAAAAAACTTTCAAAATCAAAGCATACAAAGATTATTTATTCATTATCAAATAGAAAGTATTTCAAACAGCAAACATAAGTGGGAAATATGCTAGAAAAAGCAAATGGACACAATTTTTTTTTTTTTTTTCAGAAATTTACCTAATGTAGATATTAGTACTTTTGTGCGATCATCTTACAGTCTACATATAATTACATATATCATAGTCTCTGTATTATTACACACATCTTACTACATACCTTAACAATTTACATGTAAGTAAATTAGTATATATTATAAAAGTTGTAAATAAATAATTAAATAGTCCATAATTTCACATCATAGAATACGTATAATTATCTTATAAAGACGGCTGGATTTACATATAAGCTACGCAAGCTATAGCTTAGGGCCCCAAAAAATATTAAAATGTAGTATAAATAGTATTAAAATATAACAGACTTATAAGCTTAGGGCCTAATTAGTTTAAATCTGACTCTGTATTTTCCCCTCTCCCAATTTCAAACACTACAAGCAAAAAATTGGAAAAAGATCTTTATAAAAAGCTTTTGTTTGGTTAATCAATAATTAAATTTTTCTATTAATTTCATTAAATTTTAAATAAATTCTTTTTTAAAAATCCAACTTTAAAATTTTTTTCTGCATACCCGTCTTGTTAACAGAAATTCCAAAAATAGTTTTCTTTAGTACTTCTATCAAACATTTTGTATAGTTTCATAAACACTTAGGTACCTATGACTACCTACACAATAACACACTCTACGCCTTTTAGCGTGCAAAACAGCCGGAACTCACCTTTGCATGGATGCCATGGAAAGTTCTTGGTAGGTGCCTGGAGACAAATTGTATCAATGTTTAAGCAGCGGTCATGCAAAGTCGAGATATTTTGGCATGGAGGTGGTGATCTGTGAGCTGCCACATTTGCCACTAGCAAATGTTCTGTATCGAGTTAAGCTCCGTCGAGTTAGGTGACTAGAACATTAATTGAAATTCTACCTTATGCTCCTCGAACACAATTCGAGCCTTGTTATCTGGGGCATTGTCCAGATGGGTGATGACATTTCCAGATAGGAAGACAGACGCCATGTAAGTCTGCAACTGATCCGCAGTTATGTTCAGTCTGCAGCTTTCATGATTTGTTCTACCAATGTCCCAGAGCCGCTCATAAGAATGTCCCCCCTAAGTATGATACTGCCGCCACCAGCCTGTGTATAATCTGCTGTACAAGAGGGGGCAACTAATCACCTGGAAGACGTCGTACTCTGACAAGATCATCGACCTGATGAATGAGAAATCGCTATTCATTTGATCAGGCAACTGTATTCCAATTATCCGTGATCCAGTCTGGATATTCCCGGGCCCCCTGTTGGCGTAGTTAACAATGACACTAGGCCAACAGGGGCGTACGAGTGTGGTGTCTGCTGTGCAGTCCCATATCCAAGAGTCTTCTCTGAACTGTGTGTTCTGAAGCATTTGCACATGGACTTGCATTGTATTGATCTGTCAGCTGAGCCACTGTCTGGCACCGATTTTGCTGGAGAGGGGACAGTCTCCAAAACTCCATTCGGATATTCTTCGGAGAACAGCCTTGATGGGGCCAACATGGCTTCTTTAAGGATGTGGGCGACATTTCACTATGCCAACAAAACTATTTATTATGTGAGGAATAGGAATTTTTCCCTCATCATCACATCTATTCAGCTTTACCAAACACACACCTGGGAGACACTATTTATTATAAATGAACACAGTCTCCTGCCTTTTGACTACACTCATGGACTCAATCGTATTTTTAGGAAAATTTCCATTTCTTTTCCTTTCCTTTCTATAGGTCTTTTTTTTCTTCTATATTACTTTTGGGCCACTTATTTTAATTTTTATTTTGTCCTATCTTCTCTTTATCGAACTCGTATAAAGAGTACGAAATTTCTTTTTCCTCTCCTCTAAAATACGAAATTGCCCTTTCCTTCGCTTGATTTTCGTTTTATTTCGCCCAACTACCCGGAGTGGATGCAAGTTCACTGAACTTGCGCCACCTCTTTTCATTCGGATTGCTTGTTCTTAGGATTTTTATTTTATAGTTGATATAAAGAATCAAGGAAACATTTTGCATCTTTAAATTCTATTCCAAATTTTATGAATGATGACTGCCCTCCAAATTGAATTCTGGCCCTTTTTAGACACGAAATTTAAATAAAACGACCTTCTATGAGTTTTTACCTTTTTTCTCATGCGGAAAGCATTATCTGAAAAGCTTTTATTTCTATAAATTAGGCTCCTAAATTTTTCCTGTATTAGATGGACCCCTGTTTTGATGCAATTATTTTATCTCTGATGATCCTTATCAGAAGTCGAGTAAAAAGATGTTTCTACATCTTGACACTCGAGAATAAAATACGATCTGTGTGTGTGTGGAGTTAAGGCCTAGTTATAGGACACTTCGTAACTTCCTTGATCGCTTGATTTTTCTCCCATCGGTGCAGAAAGACTTAGCGAGTGCAAAACAAGACGTCTGTCTACTTTGTCTGTTTATTGAGCAAGGCCGTTTTATACAATAATTAATTTTACATTTGCTATGGTACTGATCGATAATTGGCTAACTGTATGAGTGGGAGAGATATTATGTATTTAATTCAATCACTGCAAAAATGTTTCATGTCTAATAAGGGGAGATTGTAATCGTAAAATATAATCACGTGATATTCGTAAAATATCGTCCTTCAGGCTCAGGGTTTAAAGTATGTATCGTAATTGTATTATAAATATTAAATGTGATGAGTGCAGATATTTAAGATGTAATGAATTACTTATTTCCATAAACGATTTTACACATTTATTCAGTTTTCACTTGCGTGGAAATAAATATTGAACACTTTTACGCAGAATCGAAAGCTTTTTTTTTTGGTGAACCTGTGTCTAAAATATTTTTATTACTTTTCAAGATGACTGTTACTATTCTAAGAGGTATAACTCTTGGTATTCGTATTTCCCAGTAATAAAATCGTAAACGACGTAGACATCATTTTCATACTAGTAACGGTATTTTAATTTATTATGGAGATGAAAGCATTTTTTCATATGCACGTTGAACATTTGGATTTGCTCTTCAGAACTGATTCAAAAACTAAATCAGAAACAGAATTTGTGTGAATTTTTGATAAAAAATTTGCACTTAAAAAAATCAGCTGTGTAATATTAGGTAGTGACTTCACTACTTTCTTAATCAAACTTTTCTGTATATAGTATGGTTTTTTAAGGACTTTAATGTCTTATATAAATAATAGAGAGTCTTATATAGAGAGAGTTTGTTTATCCTCTAACTAAGCAGATAAGGGGTTTTCATCCGCAGAGAACCCATTGGCACTTCGGGAAAGAACCCATTGGCACCAATGCAATTTTTACTCGCCAAGGGATGAGTGGAGCCGTAAACGTGATTTTTAGTGCATGTAAATTCAAGTTAGCAGACAAAACAATATATTAAGCATATGCTAGTAAAAATTCACAGATAATAAGCATGCAGATGTAAAACTAACCGGTCAACGTGATATACGAAACTAAACCTGTCTTTTTTTATAATATATTTCACAATACAAATAACCTTCAACAGTAATCAAACTTTCTTTAGTAACATTGTTAATAAAACTATAACTTTATACATTTTATTATTTTTCAAGAGTTATTTGAACTGTATTCCTTACACCAGCAGTGGTGCTAATTTTGATGACCATCGGGATGCATCAAACTACTGTCGTCTTAGATAATCAATAATATTTTTTATTTCAATTTAATCAGTTATTTATGTCACACCTGCCATCCTCGGAAAAGTTATTGTTAGAAAAGCATTAACAATATAGTATCTTGTTAAAATTTTACGCCATAAAAATTGGAGCCGAGAACTGGCATCTATCGACGAAAACTTCTTTAATTATACTAAAATATTTGTATCTATTTGTTGCTAAAAAATTCAGAAAAAATAACATGGAAAATAACAAAAAATAATAATAAATAAGAGAAGAAGAATATAAATCTCCAAATGCGAACAGCGACAGTGATAATTCAACAAAATGAACTCAAGAGGAATGGTTGCAACCTTCAAACGAGCGAATAGGATGAATCCGATAGGTTACCAAGTTTGAACTATTATCGCCAAAGTTGGCGATGTTTACATTTACCGGGTTCTCTGCGGAAGTGCTTCCCAGATAAGACCACTGATTGTTGGTAATTCCCTCCGGGGTTTAATCCTAGTATACGGTGCACAACGGATTTGGCTACTTTTAGTGACTTTATGATGAGCAGTAAATGGGACATATACCATAAGTAGTTAAACGGCTCATTTTGGTGTTAGCGATAATTTTCAAAATCGTGCCAAAGCTGCACCGTATACTAGGATTTTACCCAGTCCGGATTTAAATTCTAATAAATGGATCTTTTCAGGGTTTTTTTCTCCATAATGTGCAATGTAAATATGAACCAGTCTACTCTAGACAGTCCTCCTGAAGGTGTCCTTTCTATTGGCAGATAGCCTCTACATGCTTTGCCTTAATTCAGCTAATCAACCAAAATTGCTGAAAATTCATTTTCTCAACAAGAAAATTTCAAGGAATCATTTGTTGTGCTAGGTTCTGCAATATTTATGAGTATTTGAAACATCTGGTTAAAGTGCAGAATCACCCACTTATTTGTTTGGTGCTTTTTACAAGAGTAAGGAGAATTGGATTTTTGTCAATTTTCTTTTACTTTTTAAGTGAAAATAGGTTGATGTGTACATGGATAAAGTCAAGGGATGCGCAATGTCATTTTTGTGCAATTCTGGGATTTTTTTTTTAAGTGAAAGTAGGTTGATGTGTACATGATACCAAGTATGTGCAATTCTTAAAAATGTGCCAAGCAGTGGGTGATTCTGCACTTTCCCCCATTTTTTATGTTTCTATCTGCCAGTGGCTAAGTGTAAAATCACTGAACTATAGTAGCTTGTTTCAGGTTTAAACCTTGACAAATGTGATGATGATTTTACCCCCATGTGTAACAAGCAAGTTCCATTTGAAAGTTCTCCACAAAGGCATGTTTCCTTAGGGGTAGTAGTTCTCATACGTGTTGACGTATTCAAATAACCTAAATATTTCTTTCTTTATTATTGCTATGTCATTTATAAATACTCATGTTTTAAAATAAAATAATAAATTTAAAGTGAAATATTATTTGATTATAAGCTGTTGAGTTTTAACCACTTGCGCTATGACTAAACTTCACGGTTGCAGTGCCGTGCCCTACAATGTAACAAGCGGTCTCATTTATGCCGTTCCGCGTCTGCAAGGGCAATCCAGAGCTGTAACTCGAGAAATAAACAATCCCGTTGTTAGGCGACATGTGCACCACGTTATTTTCATTTTTGCGATAAATGCCTATCGACGTGGTGTTCACGTTGCTCGCGGTTTGAGACAAAAGTATCTCGACGTGCGTGGCACATCTTTTTAGCACAAGTGGTTAAATCTTCTGCATAAAGGCTTTGATGGGTTGTCAGGGCATAGATATATTAAATATCAAAATTCTACCTTTATCAGGCATTTTTTTGTGTGTGCGGGGGGGGGGGGGGTATTTGAAATGCACCGAAATAAATTTCTGCTTCTAAACGTATAATCATAAGTAAAAATATTATTGTTTACATTGTAATAATAATATAAATAATTATGTTGTTTTGGTAACAAGAGAGATTTCATTTTAAATATAATTTGGAGTTTGCAAATATTTCCGTTTTATCAGATTTAGGATTTGGCAATATTTAGTAAAGTATTTCTCTATTTCTCAATAAGATATGTACTATATACTGTTTGAAAATGTTAAAACATAGGTCATGCATTATGTATTCTAATTTTATTATATAGAAATAGTAATCAGAAATGGAAACATTATTTGGTTGATCTTTGGATTATGGTAACTTGGCGATTTTTGGCGAAAATTTGGCTACCAACTCTGCTACAGCAACCCTCTATTTTTTTTTCGCCGCCATTTTGTCTTCACGAAGTCAAGACATGTTTCTTTTCTTTTTATTTACTCAACAATTTTTCCAACAATCTACTAGCCAAATTACACTTATGCTAGAAATTTTATGTAACAAAACTGCTTAATCATGACAAATATTAACTGCAAAATTGGGAAAAAGTGCACAATCGCAAACTCCTTGCGCGTTTTCAGAATAGCACATACACATAAACCATGGTAAATGTCGACTTATTTTTACTTAAAAAAAATCCCAGAATTGCACAAAAATGGCATTGCACACACTTTTAACTTTATCCATGTACACTGCTATTTTCTCATAAATTACAAAAATTTGCACGAAAATGCAAAAAAATTCTGTGAATCTTTAAACTCGGTAAAAAGCACATATATGAAATTACCTGATCGTGAAAAAGTATATATCCTTTCCAAGGATGAACATTTCCACGTATAAAATAAATAAAATATCCAAAAACTTTTACCTCTAAATTATCTATTATATTATAAACGTCACCAAAGAATTCATACCACAAACATTACAAATGGTTACAAAAACTTAGTGTCAAATATTTAAATTTTTTCCATACACGTTTACTTCAACTGAAACGTATACCAAATTCCTACAAACATAAAATTCACAAAATAACTAACATTTAATTAAAATATCACTAAACCATGTACACGTCGACTTATTTTTACTTAAAAAAATTGCACAAAAATGGCATTGCGCACACTCTTCACTATATCCATGTACACAGCTTTTTTCTCATAAATGAGAAAAATTTCATGAAAATGCATGAAAATACTCAACGTATTCTACTCAAACGTATTCCAAAATACTACAAACATATAACTCACAAAATCACGATCATTAAATAAAAAAACACTACTTAAAATATAAATAAGCACATACATTTTAATTAATAAAAATTAGATTACAATCCTGATTACTTTAAACTAAATCATTGCTAATAACAATTTTCCGATAATACCATATAAATTTATTTACTCCTTACATTTAGAACAATGCATAAAAATAATATCCTCAAATGATTAAAAATACTAACTTACCTAATCTTCAGAATCTTCATCATGTGGCACGCACACTTCCACTATTTCACACAACACACAATGAAGCTTAGTACAAAATAATGTAGTACTACAATTTTCCAAATTCCTCCCCTTTTCCGATTAAAGAACTGTAATTCGTCCATTAATGTCACATGACATATCTCATGATCTCTCATTTCCCTCACACAAAATAATGCGTAATCGGAACTGAGTACTTCTCACATTATTACTGACTGAGTACTTCTCACATTAAGTCCTAGGTAGTAACCTTTATCACCTCCAAAATGTCGCCAAACTACCAGTTACCATATTCCAAAGATCAGCCCATTATTTTCTGGAGAGAATTTCTTGAAATGATTTAACATTAGTATTTTTGCTAAACTTGCATGTAAATCTATTTTGTTGGCACCACTACTTTTATTTGCTTAGTGGCAGATAGCATGCTATTTTTGGTGTCTTCAAAACATTGCTAATGGAAGGTAGAAACACAGTATAATCTGCTTTTATCCTTTAGGTAATACATTTACTAGAGCTTTTCTCATTTTTCAGTTCGTATTAGCTATATTAATCTTGTATTTAATACAATGTCTTAAAATTTTGTTTAAACTTCTATACTGTTTGATATTTAATTTTTTATTAATATTTTTATCACATTTTGTCATTTGATCGCATTTAGAAGCTGTGTAACACCCGGGTGCCTGGATCAAGGATCCCTTGTTGAACATGTAGGTTGTTTCGAATGCTGTCATGAGTAACTAACATAAGATATAATAATAATATTTTTTTTTATAAATTATGATCATATTTTTTAGTAATGGGATAATAAGATATTCTAGCAGAAATAAAGTGTGTGGCAAGTTCCAATAAAAACCTGAAAATGCCATCTGGGAGAGCTGAGAAAGGGGAAAAGAGCTGCCTTTAATCTGAGTCCTAGAGATACATAAAATATATACATACAATAGAGATAGTGTGAGTCAACTGGTGCACTTAAATCATAGCATAAGTCATAAAGTACAGTACAAGTAAAGTAAGTCATTAAACAATATGAGTACTAAGTATGGCCAATAGGCCGTTTACAATTACTTGGATCATTTACATCATAATTGTAGACCCTTGTAACAGGGTTGTTGATACTTGCCATGTTAGCATAAAAATTCTGGGCAAGCCGACAATAAAAATATTTCAGTTTTTCAATGCCTAATTCATCTTGAAGTTTTTGATTTCGATGTACCTGGGCGAGTTGCTGATCTGTCTTAGGACACAATTTTATGCCTGCTGTAACTTTTTCCTATATGATTTGCATGAATAATCCAAAACTGGGCAGGCATAGCATAGTATGGGACGCAATACTGTTTTATAAATAATCAACTTGTTATCTATTGAAAGTACACTGTTTTGAGAAATTAAGGGGTGAAATGTAGCTTTACTAACTCGAAAATTTATAACCCTTTCAGGACGAGCGTTCCATATGCACATTCCCTAAGAACGTCTCTTACAGACGGGCGTCCCATCCATGCATCACTAGAGATTGCATTCAGAGGACGGGTGATGCGTATATGCATTTTAAGCTGGAACATTTTTCTGAAGGCCAATAGATGGCATTCTATGTCCATTACCTTTGAAATGAACACAGACCTTGAGTTTGATATATTCTGTCTATCTTTGATATTTTACTCATCAACCGTTGGGGGGGGGAAAGCATAAAGAGAGGTAGGCTCTTTAAACCATCGCATGCTAATATAAATATTCGCGTGTCTGATTTATGTCCAATTCCTTTTTTTATTCTATTTTGCCCCTACTGTATATGGTCTTTTAGGGTAAATATGTGGAGTTTTGTTACGTTTTGCATTGCCTTCAGATATATTTCCGTTTCTTCTCTTTTTAATTTGGAAAGCCTCACCTCCAGTCTATTATGGAAGGCGCTATTTATCAGAGGAAGAATACCCTCGTATGGTTAATGAACCATTTACTAATGCAGATGAGAGTGATGATTCTTTTTCTAGAGTTAGAAAGTAATACTTTTTCTGAGAGCTAGAAACGGATACTTCTCCATGCTTCGAGATTTCCACACTCAGTCTTCATTTGAAATTTTGTTACTTCTTACTGTAAATAGTTTGTATTGTGTTGTTTTATCAATTTTAAACTTTATTGATTAATTTTATCAATTAAAACTTTGGAATAATTTGAATAGTGCTTCCGAAAATTATTTTAAAGGTAAGGAAATTTTTAAGTATATTTTCATGTAAAATAAAGAAAAAAAACGTTATTAAGTGCTAATTTTAACATATATAAGAGCTCAAATAATAATCTAAAATGATACCAAAAATTACGATGCTAGAAATGAAACTTTTCTTCCTGACTTTTTTTTATAAAATTAGGCTTAGCGATGCAAAACCTCCGTCCTGTATGGTATGGTGATTGCATTCGATTCCCTTCCGTCCCGCACAAGCGTCTTAAATAAAGGTGCGCTGTCGCAAAAAGGTTAAGGATAGATGTTATGTGTGGGTACCATGAAAGAGTAGTACCGACTCCATAATTTTGCTAAGTGAGGACAATAGGCTTATCGGACGATAGGATTCTGGTGAACTTGCTGTCTTCTTGGGTTTCAGAATTGGCGTAATTTGAGCCACCTTCCAACTTTCCGGGAAATGCTGCCATCTAAGTAAGAGGTTCATAATCTTTGTGAAGTAAAGTAAGATCTTGACTGGGAATCTTTTGATCATCTTGTTGCTAATAGCATTGTACCCTGGGCTCTTATTATTTTTCAGCTTCTTTACATATGAGCAGACCTCTGACGGCATGGCTAAGATCATGTTGTCTGTGTGTGGGCTTGTTGTACAGTTGTTGTGAAAGTCAGTAATTAATTGCTCTGTTGTGGGATCATAAATGTTGTTTGTGCGAAACTGAGATTCCACATTCTGTGCTAAAAGGTTTGCTATCTCAGTTTCTGTGTAATGGATCCTTTGAGGGCCTTTAAGGGGTGGAATGTTGTGGCATTTTTTGTAACTTTTGACCGCTAACCATATAGAGTTACTATCTGCAGAGAGGGACTCCAGGTAGTTAGTCCAGTGGAGTTGTGAATAATAATTAGTGCGAGACTTGACTGCATTACACAGCATATTGAAGATGATTTTGTCTTGCCTGGATCTGGTTCTCTGAAATTGCCTCCTGGCAGCACTGCATTTTTTGATAAGCTGGTTCCATCGATCTGACAAATTTAGGCTTTTTCACTTCTCTCTGAGCATTTTTGTAAGCATTTTGCTCAGAACAGGTAAACTCCTTGATTAAACTATCAGTGTCATTGCCTGAGTGTATTGTTGGGATAGTGTACTGGATGTTGTTTAGAGCTTTGGCATAATATTGCCAATCAGTTTTAAAGGCTCTTTTGACTGGTGTAGTATAACTACTGATATCCAGTACCAAACGGACCGGATTGTGGTCGGAAGGTAATTCGTCCAACACAGAAACATCCAGCGGAACACTGGTGTTTCTGAGGAAGAAGAAGTCTAAGATACCGGTGGATCTAGTAGTATACCGTGTTGGGGTAGTTGGAGCTGCTATCTGGAAAGGAACCCTGTGGGCCAAATTGAATATAACATTGTCAGAATTATAGCAGTTCCACACGCGGTGCATAGCGTTCAGATCTCTCTACCTACGATTATGTGTGTGCCAAGTGTGAGTAATGTGTTGAGATCAGCGTCTAACACCTGTGCGGAGTTTTGATGGTGGTTATGTAAGTGAAGACAAACGTATAAGTTGTGTTTGTTGTGTGATAGAAATAGCTGTAGCTTCAATGGCTGAAAGCTGTGGAATTGTTATTTGATACTGAGGATGCAGCGTTTAACAGGAGAGCTGTGCCACCTCCTCTCCTGTCAGCAGTTATATCTCTGTTGGATCTGTACACACAGTAAATTGCAACATAAATTGGGTTTGAAGGGCTAAGTCTGTGTTCCTGTAGGAAGAACAGATCTGGGCTATGCTCATTTATAAAATCTCGCAACTCATCAATCTTACAAGATAAACCGTTTGCGTTCCATATAATGATGTTGATACAATTGTTTACAATACTATACATCAAGCATCACATTTAGAACCAAAAATATTTTAGAATATTTCAAACAAAATAAACATCTTATCAATAGTGTGCTCTGTAGCTTGAAGCTCAGGCATCTTATCTGTAATTTTTCTAATAATATTGGCAAATGAAAAACTTTTAAAAATGCCCACACTTAATAAATTTAAAAATATCAGTAAAAACCTTCTAACCTACCTCAGTAGGTTTTCCCCTGCTACTACTACTACTACTACTACTAACAGTTGCATTTTTAACACTATAATCCAACAATTTATTGCTTACAGTAGTAGACTTTCACTAATTGCATTAGCATAGCTAATGCCTGGTATTACATTACTTTTATTAACATTAATTCCTTCATTTGACACATTAATTTTGCTTATTTTATTACTTTGTGTTGTTTTGATGTTCTTAGCAGTGGGAAACTGTGGACAATTTGTCATTTCATTTTAACATTTTATATTGTTTCTTTATCCCTTATTTTTTATTTTACCTTATTTAACTTATTATTATATTATTAAGATGCAGTTCTTTATTTAATTGTAATTGATTATACAGTACAAATCACTTATAATGAACCCTGATTTAAAAGAGGAAATCAAAAATACTTGGTTGGTACAATGTTAAGTCTGTGGGAGCATAACTCGCTGTTAATGAGCAAACCCTAGTTATAGCTAGCAATAGTTTTATGATTCATAAAATTTCCATAGAGTTCCACTTCTACTGCTCAGCTACTCCTTTATTAGAAAAATTTCTTTGACATTTTGAAGTCAACTGAAACTTAGTGATTAATCATAAATTCTGCATATATTTGAAGGCGGCCTTTTGGGATGTAACCAGGATTGAATTTTTACCACCAAATTCTACAAGTGTTATCCAACCTATGGACCAAGTGATCATCAGAGGGTTTTAAATCAAACTTTCATAAGCAATTGATGATTTTGATGCTTCTCTATAGAAGAGGAAAAAAATAAAATAGAATAAAATAAATAAATAAATAAATAAAAATAAAAAATAAAAACAACTTCAAATGCTAATGTAAATGTACTCAGAACGATATGTTTAATGAATGATGCATAGGAAAATATTACATCAACATTCAGCACCAATTGTTCCTGTAAGGGTGGATTGGACATTTCTTGAGAGAGCCAAATTTCCAAGAAAGAAGGAAGTATACGTCTTAGAAGAGAGTAGGGAAGAATGTGAAAAATTATGTATCTGTTGACACCAATGTTATTACTTCTAAGGTATGTACTACCAAGGATATTGCACCAGAAATTCAAGATAAAGCAGATTAAAAAAAAAATAGTGAAAGTGATATAGATGAATGGGAAGAATTTCAAGCTTAGCTGCCGCCAACATATTCAGTGGCTTTTGAGTGTGCAGAAAAACTTCAAACTTTTTCTGAAGCCGAATGACAACATTTTAACATAAAAAAGCGAGCTTAGCATTTATCGAAAACATAACACAAGAAAGAGACAGTAAGGCTGTTCAAAGAAAATTAATGAACTTCTTTTGTACTGTATGGAAATAAAAAAATAAATAAAGTACTTGTAATACAGTAAGTCTGTCTGATTTTTCTAGTAACATTCAGTAGATTTAAAGTAATTTATATTTTTGGAAATACAGTTTCTATACAGAATATTTTTGGAAATACAGTCTTTTTTTTTTTTTTTTTTTTTAAATATTGCACCACTGAAGAGTGTAATTGAAAATATGAATACATTAGAATAATTTCTTGCCATTTGCCAGCCTAGTAAAAATGGTAAATGCCTAGAAACAAATTATGTTCAAAAGTCGTTAATCCGGACTCGTCGGGACTTCGGCGATTCCGGATTATCAATTTTTCTGGATTATAGATCATCAGTTTAAATCTGGTAAGATGGCATGCAGAAATTATAAAGTTAAAAATATGAAACCATAATTTATGAAATAAAGAACAATTATGATCTAAAGGGTATCAAAATTTACAAAAAAAAAAGGCTTAATATTTATTTGTTTACTTTATTAAACATTTCTTTCAATGTAAGTTGTTTCAGTTGCTTCGTTTTATGTGATAATACTTTCTTTTTAATTCTATAAACAGACATAATTTCTTGTTAAGTTACAAAGTTCCGCTGTTCAAGTCCCATAATTGAGGTGCCGAGAATGCCGACTAACTTGTCAATCGAAATCTTTTCGTTTTCACTAACCTCTCTGTCATCTTCTTCATGTCTTTATTCATTTTTTGCAGCAATTCCACTTTTTGTTTGATGGATATTGAAACATACTTTCGTTTTGTAGATCCTTTGGGAGCTCCAGTATCGGAAATTCTATTTGACATAATCGAAAGTTCAAGTTTACTTTTATAAAATTGCTCTTACAGTCTGCAAAAAATAATAAGCCAGATCCAATTCGAAGATTAAGGAACAACGCAATCATCAACATTAACTGAAATAGATAATTAGATAAGTTTAGCTTATACTGTCCGTTATACATAAAATGCGCACGCGAAAGCATATTCTGTGCTTGCCCACACGCATATGCGCAGTAGTAAAGGTCTTACGCGCACACGTATGCGCAGAAAGTTTTTAGCTTTGAGGTCCGGGTTATAGATCATTCCTGATTATGGGTGTCCGAATTAACGACTTTTGACTGTATATTCCTTCTAGCATATTCTTTGTGTTTCTGTGTGTAAAGTAAGAAACCAAATTTTTTTTAAAGAAGGCTTAACTGCTCCAAAACAGTGTACTGTTTCCAAAATGCAACTGTTTGATTTTTCTGAAGAATAATCACAGTCTTTCATGCGGCATAACATGGTACTGGAAAAAAAATGGAGCATCATAGATTTCAAAAAGTTAACTTAGCGTAGCAGAAATTTTGAAGCTGATATGTAATATGATTGAAAAAATTGACATGTTGAAAATAATGAAAAAATGTAATTTTTGATCAAACGTTATGTTCTCCTTGAGTCAGTGCATAAGATAGCCAATTCAAGTACAAGTATGTGTACCAAACCATGTTAAACAAGACTAACAACGAATAAAAAAATGGAGAATTCAAGTACAAGTATGTGTACCAAACCATGTTATACAAGACTAACAATGAATAAAAAAATGGAGGAATGCATTCCAAAAACTTTTAGAAACAAAATATTTTTTAATTTGACAATCTTTATTCAAAATATAAACACATGAAAAAAAAAAAAAAAAAAAAAAAAAAGTAAATTAAAAATTTTTGTTCTCATTTAATTTGAGATCATTTTATTAAATTTCTGCATTAGGATTTTTTGCATCTTCTGCCTTCTTTAAAGAGCTTGCTCTTTTATTCTGCTTGTTCACTCTTTCAGGTTCATAATAAATCCCTTTGGATAGTTTGGTATTATCGCAACCACCTTGGCGCAGTTTGGTGATTTTTGAAGAAAAACCATGGTAATTTCAAAGTGGAGAGTTATTTATTTCATATTATAAATGTTATTATGTACCTGTTTTTATTTTAGTTCAATATTTGATACCATGGAAACAATTTATAAAACTACTATGAATAGATTTGGGAAAATTATGTTTCAGGTTACTCCTTGGCGAAAATTGGCATTTTTTGGGTGCCTTAGAAAAAAGCTTAGCAATCTGGTAACATCAAAGTCTGGGTATGGTCGTTGCAAAGTGGAAGGCAGCCAAATTGAAGACACAGAAGAATTTTATTTTTTTAAAAACTCCCTATCTTTATTCACTTGAAATGGCAGATCACTATTCTTTAAGATTCTCCAAAATTACATATCCAATAATGATTTAAATTAAAATAAGAGTTAAATTTAAGCTTTCGATGTCATAACTATTCTACAAGGGAAGAAGAAGGGACAGAGCAGGCAAACTCTGCATTTATAGTAGCGATTACATAACATGCCAGAATGGTCTCAAAAGTACTGGTCTAGGGAGAAGATCCTGAAATTGCGGAAAGTTAATTAGAGTTTGCCTGTTCACAGAGAGCAAAGCCATCATATTTTTTTATTATATATATAAATTTTAGGTTGAATTTAACAATAAAATATGTTTAAAATTTAATAATGTATTCAAATAAACATAAGTTCATAGTCTTTATTAAATTTTAAAATCATTAACACCTAATAGCATTTTGTTGATTTAATCAAATTTTTATTATAGTGATGAAAATTGGAATTATAAGAAAATAATGCAAAGAACATTGGATAAAACAGCTATTGCAGAATTGAACACATGACAGTTTCACTGATAGTATGACTGTATTGCTAATGGACCAAGTTGTTTCTAAAAGAATTATGGTAAATTTAAGTAAGTAGTGCTTCTTCATTTGATGTTTTGCAGTTAATTTAAATAATGGTTGCACTTTTTCATATTAAGAGTTTCTTTTAAGTGTATAATATTATAGCATTATTTTTTAGTATTATTTATAATATTAGTTATGGTGCTCTGTATTGTTGTTCCTATGGGTTCATAGTTTTCCTTAAATCAGTAAACACAATAAACAGAAAAACAGATACTTTTTTGAGGGGGGGGGAAAGACCTATATCATTATACAACCCAAAGAGGAAACAGATATAAGGCAAAATTCATCTTAACGTAATTTTTTATTTAATTATTTTTTTTATCCAGGGGCCAAGTACTTATGTACTAAGCATTTGGCAAGATTGGCTGAATTCTGTGGTCATTTGGCTGTTTCTGTGTTATTCAAGGTTTTGGGGAATATAATACCTGCAAGAGAGGGGTGTAAACTGTTATAAACATTCATGCCTATTCCATTGATATGTCGCCCAGCTCCATTAATTACCACATCAATCAGGGGGGTGCCATAACATGTAAAGAATATTGCAGATTGTTGAAATCACATGTAGAATGAAATCTAAAGCAAAAATGATCGAACGAGAAGTTATAAACTGTCACATGACTTTAACCTGAACTATTTCAGAGCTGCTTAAAGCCTTCTATTTTGGGTTGCTCAAATTAAAAGGTACGGTCTTGCAGAAGCATGAGGAAAAAATCTGATTGCTTTGTAAATGTTTTCTCTGAAGATCTCCAGAATGTCTTTGTGCTGACTAGTACATCAAGAGCAGGAATTCTCAGCAGGTTCAGTATTGATCCCTGGGGTTTGATGAAATTTTAAAGGGGAGTCAATGTACAATAGCTGAATATGCACTGACTATTGATCGGCATAATCAAGATCCCATTAGTTTAAAAAAATATTCAATAAAATTGGTAACTAATTGTTTAATAATATAAAGCTATATTTTGTAGTAAGGAAGAAATCATGTAAGGGAAAACTGTGTACAAATTATTTAATATATTGTTAGGGATTTTGTATTTAGTTAGCTATTTTTGGTTTTGTTTTATTTCCCCATGTAATGCAGCACGAGTTTTAAAAGAAAGCTGCACCAAAAAAGTAAAAAATGCAGGAGCATGTGCATTTAATAAATATCTCATAATTTATATTTAAATTGAAATAATGCAATTGTGTGTTAGCTGTAACTATAAATTCTACTCTTTTGCTTTCGAAACCTCGAGAAATTACGAGAAGCTTCTCGTGACTGATCAAAAAGCTTATAAAAGCCGAAGTAAAACATCTCAGTTCAGTTGTTTATTAGTTGTTGTTTACTTAGCTGCGGTAAATTTTGTTGAACAGATTAGCTTTCTCTGTGTTTTGAATTGTGTTCTATTTAACATTTTTGTAGTTTAAAATATAACTACTGTGTGATATTGTACGAATATCTGTGAGAAAAAATTTCAGCATTTTTGTTTTATTTCTTGTGATAAGTATAAATTTTATTAACTTTTCATCAGACTTTCCAATCTATTATGAACTCGTACGCATGCAACAATATCCATTTTTATGCAATGAGTGCAATGTAAAAAAGGAAGAAGTGGGACCACAAGAAAACACTGCCAAAAAAATACTAAGAATGCAAAACTTTCTCAGATGAAGTATTGTTATATACAAGAAAAAAAAAAAAAAAAAAAATATTTTAATGTTAGTTTCCAAGGCTTAAAAATTTGAAAGAACCACTGAACTGATATATATATGATCTGGTTATTATGATGCAAGAAGCATTGATTGCATCAAAGTATGTTGCAAGTTGTATGTAAAAGTAAAAAATGTAAAGGGGGTCGATGAAGAAAACCATTCTTTTAAAAGGGGTTAGGAATCTAGAGTAACTTAATAACAAAAACTTCTTTTGAAGGAGAGTAGTAAGAAAATAATTTCTCAACTATATAATTATAATAATAATTAATATACCATATTTTCTCAAAAAAAAGGGGGGGACCCTTTTTTTGTTGTTGTTTGTTCTAAAATTTGGTAGGTTCTTATAATTGGGTATTTTAATGAATGAAAGGAAGGAATTTAAATTATTGTATTGTGTAGAGTAATTACATGGTTTTAATACTAAATAAACCATTACCATGGAGGTAATTACCTTACATATAAATTCCATAACTACCACTAATTATAGTCTACTGCTAATCACATCTAACAGAATGGTTTTAATCAAAACCTGCATCCACTGTACCGGTTACTGGTGTTCTTGAAAACATATAAGCAATGTTGTATCATTAATTTTCCCTATTTTAATGGTATGGGAGCAAAAATACTATAATTTAATTAAAGCTTGCTTTTAATTCTCATTATAAACAAATGAAGTACTACTATTTATAGCAGCCACCAACCGTATTTGGTGATTTTAGATATGCAAACATAAGAATAAGCAACATAATATATAATAATAACAATAATATTCACATGATGTTTCCTAAGAATATTTTTAAGAATCCTTATGTATATCCTTATTATTATTATTTCATCATCACATGTAATTATTCCAGTCAACTGCAGCACTTTCACACATATTAAGCTGTTTGTTACACTATTTCATAAATGTCAGCTCCTCTGCCCAATAATACATAAATCTAATAGCAGGTGATGAATGATATCCTGGAATTACTGAATCAATTTTCAGCACAGAGACCCTTCTTCTTTCTGTAATTTTTTACAGTGCACTTCAAAATGATTTCAGAGGTAACATAATTTCACATTGTGGCCATTTTCATGTACTCATTTGTCAGTAAAAGGCCTCTTTCTTGAAAAAAATGTTGTGGCACCCATCTCATTACTTGTTAAATTAAAGATTATTAACATCATATTTACACACACAAAAATGAATATATTTTTAAATGCTGCAAACAATGTGAATTCGGGAACTTCATCAAAAATGAATAAAGAACACACAGTGAGACCAAAAATGCAGCACAATGCTAATATTCAATTATATGGCAAGATATAAGAATATGCAGCCAGTGCTAATATACAATCATGTCACCAGGTATAAGAACATGCAAGCCAGAGTTTGGCAATTCAATCTCAGGGACTGCTATAACAAAGAAGTACCACAAATGAATTTTAATCAGAACGATGCTGTCATCAAATATTCATCTACATTCTTATTTCTTAAAGTTTATCCTTAAAATTATTTTCTTAAATATATCCTTTCGTTTATATTTTTTAATTATTTATTTTATTTTTAAAGAAAAGTTTTATTTTCAAATAAATATGGTGATGTTAAGAAAATTAATTCAATAAGCTGTTTGAGGAGATGAAAATATTGTCTATTTATTTTTAAAATAATTTATTCCCCTTTTGATAATTTTTTTTCATTCTTTAGTTGTATGACATCTTGATTTGTATTTGTAATGGATGCCATTCTATCTGAATTTGTGGCCCATACTTCTGCAGATCCAGGATTAGCAGCAGATTTGTTAGTTGGTAAGCCACTCTTTATTTATTTATTTATTTATTTTTTGTTTGTTATAGTTGTATAGTTTTGTGATACTGAAAAAATAAATAAATAAAATAAAAAGTCAAACATTCCAGTGAAGCTGATTTGTTAACCAAAGAAGTTTTTTTTGAAAAATTTCAGCTGAAGAAAAATTGAAAGGATCAGCTATGTCTATCTGTATAATCTGCCATGTAACCTATCAGTTATTTAGAGTGTAATTTTAATTCTTTGCTATGTAAGCGTTTTTAACTACTCCCTAGCTGATAGATAGGGAGCTTCATGTCCATAGCTTTTGCCGCAAAATTCTTAGAGTACAGCCTAAAAATTTGGAAGAAATATAGCTTTACTAATCTATAGCCTTTAATGTACTTGGTAAGTGTATGGAACTTGTTTTAGAAAATTCTAGATCACAGCTTCTAATGTACATTTTGAAAAATTGAGAAAACTGCCAGAAGTTTTTAAACTAATTTTTTTTTCCCTTCCAGATTCTGTCAAACTAAGAAAGAACGCAATAATCTGCAAAAGTGATTAGTTTTATTACATCTTTAGGTGTAATGAATGTAATAAAGGAATTATTTAAAATTGCAGCGTGTGTGAAACTAATACATTGCATAGCAGTTAAATGGATATTCATAGACTTTATACAGTACAAAATCCAAAATCCGGATGTCCATTATCTGGAATGATCTAAAATCCAGACCTCAAAACCACCAATGTTTTTCTCCTATGTTTTACCCATGCGCATTCGATTCCCCCCTCTGCACATAATAAAACATCTGGAAAGTACTGATTCTTAATTTCACTTCGACACTATATAAAACCTTGTTATTGAAGAAACAAATATTTTAGCATAAAATTGTATGATCAGTAATTTGGCTTTGCTGCTGCGTTATCTGCTTGGCACACATCTCAAACTGAAACATTCTACATAGATACATTGTTGATCTGACACCGACCTGGCGATTCATTATTTATTATACTTTCCTTTCATCACCGCATGTTTATCAAATCAAAACATGACAACTTGAGTAATGACTTATGTAGTGATGCCTATACAATTTTTTTTTTTTTTTTTTTTTTTTTTTTGTTTATGTTAGTAATTGAATAATAAAAGAAGTATGGTAACCTTTTATGCTGACATTACGTTTGGCAATGATTACAGATTTAAGTTAAATGCGCTGCAAAAAAAGTTGACGAGGAAAAATTTACTAAATATTTCTTTCCATTTGTTAAAAATAGATTTTGTTGATACTCATAGGCCCAAAGATTACATTTAGGGCTATTTGAATTAAGAATAACTTATTTGTTATTAATCTTTATTATTAATAATAGATCTTTTATTATTATTAATCAAAATCTTTATTATTAATAATAGATTTTATTGATGATAACTCATAGACCCAAAGATTACATTTAGGGCTATTTGAATTAAGAATAACTGATTTGTTATTCACATAAACCTAGAACCAGTGCCAGGGCTTATATGGCCGCACGGAATCGCAGAATTTAGGACCCACAGAGACTGTATCAGGCGGTAAGATATCTAGCGCCAGCGCTCAAAAAGGCTTAAGTATATGTGGGAATTTATTTATTCAGAACTCTAATTAGCCTTAAGCATGTGCAAGAAATAGACATAAGTATAATGAATAACTAAACTAATACAATTCAGACTTAATTGTCTCAGTGCGCAATAGAAACAAGATAATATTTAACGGAATAATTTGTCGTTAGTCGCCAAGCTCATGATGCATAGCCAAATATGTATTGTGAAGGATAGCTAAATTTGATGATGATAGCCGCTAATTTGAAAGGATATCGCAAAAAAAAGGTGAAATTTTCCAATTAACAGATTTTGTAAAGAAATATAGAGAAGCGGTAATAAATTTTTCATTGTGATGACATTGCTGCTCAATCATCAATCAATTAATGAATGGCGAAATCTGTAGTATGGTTCTAGATCCAGAAAATACCGCTACAGATAGTGAAGAAAGTGACAGAGAAGTTACTGAAAACGAGAAAATTTCAATTGACAAGTTAATCGGAATTCTCGAAACAGCAGTTACAGGATTTCAACAATGTAACTGAACAAGAGATTATGTCTGTTTATAGAATTAAAAAAAAAGTATTAGCACAACACACACACACACACACACAAAAAAAAAAAAAAAAAAAAAAAGCAACTTAAACAACTTACTTTGAAAGAAATGTTTATTAAGGTAAACAAATAAACATTAAGCTTTTTTTTTTTTTTTTTTTTTTTTTTTTTGTTAATTTTGATACCCTTTAGATCATAAATATCGGGTTGTCCGGAATATAATGCAGGTTTTTGCAATTGTTTAACTTTCCTGTACATTTTTAGTAACAAAAATATTTTGAATTACATTTGTTTATATATCATTTTAACAGGTTTCGTACGGTCCTTAAGAGTCCTTAAAAGTCCTAAGATTTTTTGGAATAAATTTTTGGTTCTTAAAAGTCCTTAATTTTGGCCCAAATCAGCAGAAGGTCCTTAATTTTAATCATCTGAAATTTGTGTCTGTTTTTACGAATTGCCATTTTGAGTGTGAATTAATGCATTTTGGAGGAATAAAAAATTATTTTGGTGATTTCTCTGACATATATGGTTAATCTTTTGAATGGGTTCATTGGGTTGTTAATTTGTTTCTATTTCTAATATAAATGATGGGATACTCGGGATGTTTCTAAGCAAGAAGTGAAACATAAGCATAGCGAAAATTAATTTTTTCTAATAAAGAACCATAAACAAAACTTTTTGCTTTTGGGGATGTGAATTCTTTTATTAAACAGTTCTAAATTTGGCAACTTATCAACATTTTGACAATTTTAAGATCAGTTTCTATAGAAAATTTTTGATTCCGAGGTCTGAGAATTTTTTGACGATTTTTTTTTAAGCATCGTAACATTGATAAATTTCATTAAAATAATTGATAATATATTGAAATTATATTTAAAAAATAACATTAAAATAAAACATTTTTTTTTTCGCTGTCATAGTATAAAGTTTCATTTTGGCAACTTATTACACTATGTATTGAATCTGAAAATAAACAAGGTATAATGCTATAAAGCACAATTTACAAAACACCTCTTAGCAAAAGCAAAATTAGCTATGTAATTAATTAAAAATGTCTTCTTTTTAATTTTTTCATAGTAAGAGTTTTTCTCATGTAATTGTCTCAGAATATTTAGAATTCTTAGAATATTCATCAGTTTTCTCTTAAAAATTCATTTTACACTTTTACCCTCCCCCCTTTTTTTTCCAAACTATTTCTGCGCTTTTGCTGTTACAGAATTCGTAGGTTCTTTAGGATTTTAGACATTGCAGCTTGGAAAGTTTACAAGGATTTGAAGGTAAGATTTATAGAGCTGCGATTCTAGAAAATTTGAGAAATATGTGACAAAATGAAAAATGTCTCCATGGTATCAACATGTAATAGATGTATTTTACCGAAAGTTTGCAATGAATTTCATACTTTTGGAGAACATCTGGAAAAGCAGTGAAAACATAATAAGCACAAAGTCTGTAATACGGACGTCCATTATCCGGAATGATCTATAATCCGGACCTCAAAACCACAAACTTTTTTTTTTGTATGCTTTACGCATGCACGTAATGCATTTACGCGTGCATGCATAGACTCCAACTACTACGGATTCTCCGTAGTTTCTACGGAAATTCATGAAAAACTACGAGCTACGAAAAGTATGGAAAAAACTACGGATTTTACAGAAACAAGAGCAGGAGAACCAGTACGCAAAACGGAACCACCTAATTCATCCGATGATTGGCTGAATACTCGTGTTATCATATATCATGTGTTGAGTGCGTTCCTAGTTTTGAAGAATTAGCCAATCGTAGATCAGTAACTCCAACCGTTAATGACTTATCAATAGTTCCACCCAATTGTCTGTCTCCCAGGTTCCTCGCTGATGCGTGTTTAGGCTGCATTCGGTTGCATTGTGTAGTTTACGGCGAGAGCTTAGCGTGTGTCTTGTGAACTGTAAATCAGGTGAAAGATTTTTAATCATAATGCTGCCTCGAACGAAGAAGCCAAAATTATCAAAGCAGAAGTTTAAAGATTCATATTCTTCAGAATTTCCGTGCATTAAAGCGTCCGAAATTTCTGTGAATCACGCACACTGCAGTGTATGCAACAAAGACTTCTCAGTTGCTCATGGCGGAAAAGATGACTGTAAATGGCATGTGTTTTCTCAAAAGCATATAGAACTTATCACCGTAAAATCTAAAGAAATACACAATTTCTTAAAAAAGATGATGAAACAGATCCTATAAAAGCCGAATGCTATTTTGTTCGTTTTTTTAATTGAACATAATCTACCGCTTTCTGTTTCGGATCATTCCAAAGAGCTTTTGAAAGCAATGTTTCCGGATTCTGCCATAGCAAAAAAATTTAGCTGCGGTCATACCAAAACTGCTGCTATTGTGAAAACGCTTGCAGAAAATACTGTTGCTGATATTATAAAATCAGTGTGCAGTACATCATTTTCTCTAAGTACTGATGGAAGTAATGATAACAATGATAACAAACTGTACCCATTGGTTATAAATACTACAGTAAAGAAAAGGGAGTGATAATTACTTCATTGATTTCTATTTTAGAATGCACGAATAATACAGGAGAAGGTATTTTTAATTGTATAAATGAAAACTTAAAAACCAAAGGTTTAGAATGGAAAAATTGCTTATCATTTTCTTCAGATAATGCTAGTAATATGATTGGAAAGTTAAAGGTGTGGCATCATTTATCAAAATGCATCACCAAGTATAATCACCCGAGGTTGTCCATGCCACCTTTTGCATATAGCTGCAAAAAAAGTTACAGAAAAATTAATTGGCTCAGAAAATTGAAATGTTGATTAATAGATATATATTTTTATCTGGAGAAAAGTTCGAAACGGAAGCATAGCTTCAAAGTTGCTCAACACATTTTGGGACAGAATGCAA